TTGTTGTAAACAAGTATTTATGCCAAAGAGAGGTGGCACACACTATTTCTTTTGCTCTTTCCAACTACCTCACTCTCTCTCTCTCTGTGTCTCCCTGCATCTCACTGTGTTGTTCTCTCTCTTTAGCATACTAGAGTTCCTCAGTAGCAATAACATCACCAATAACAGAGCAGAGACAAGCCTTGGAGGGCAGAATGACTCACGGTGAGATGAGGCGTCAGGGGTTAACAAGTCACTGGAGACTCCTTCATTGAGACACCCCCACCCCCACCCCTTCTCTCATTCTCTCTTTCTCTCTTTCTGTGTGTATAAGTGTGCGTGCACCATTTCCTGGTTAACTTTGTGGGAGTTTTGGAGACTCTGACAGCCTTTATCCAAGACGCCCTAGTACAGCGGGGGTCCAGGCATTGTGTTTGACACCACACACCTGTTGCCGTCTTTGATGTGTTCATCCCCCTGCTGAGAGAGAAGGGGCTGTCTCCTCAAATGCAAATATAAGACAGGAGGAAGAGGACAAGCAGTGTATGCAGCAGAGGTGAAGTCTTAGAAAAATATGATTGATGTTCCCTTCGTGAATTGGGGCTGAATCTTCCTTGCTCTTAAGTCTGCAAAAAAAATATGCTGTGTTCCATGCTGTGATTATGTGTGTATGTGTGTGTCTGTAGCTACTTTTGCCATTTGGACTTCTATATATTGGCGAACAAGAGATGAGAATAAAGCGAGATAGAAAAAAGAGGAAACTGGGTGAGCTCGAGGGAGGAGAGAAGGGGAAGATGGTAACGAGGTCAAATCAAAAGGAGAAGGAGTGAAGGAGAGGGGAGAGTGACTATTTCATTATAAAGCCGTCACTCACATGGGCAGCGGCCAATACATAGACTCTTTTGAGACCAAGCCCCTCTGTGTCTGTCTGTTTGTCTCTCTGTGTGTATATACATTTATTTATGCCTGTGCACCCTACCATGCATTATTTTTGACATGGGATGAATATTTATGTACATGTACGGTCAGGTGTGTGTGTGTGTGCAGCCGAATGCTACGATAGTTGCAGTGTGACAGAGACAAATGTGACACACATTCCTCTCTATCCAGGTGACAGGGGTGGGACTCTGCTGCAGGTCAGACCTCATCTCCCATTGATAGGCCAACACTAAATATGTGTGTGGGCACCACTGTGTTTGTCTATTCAGCATGTGTTACATGGAGAACAAGAGGAGAGCGAGAGAAAGTCAGAACAAATTTTTCACACAAGTGACTTTGTGTATTAATATTTGGCCCATTTGTATGCACGTGTCTTCAAGTTTTTTATGGCCATGGATGTGCGTGCGTGTGTGTATGTGGGTGGGTGTGTTTCTGGTGTGTGATGAGGTGTTTATATGATAAACATAAGGCAAGCTTGTGAGGAATTCTGATCAGGGGTTTTGCAACAGTTGTTATGGAAACAGCATTAAGCAGTTGTATTAGCCAGTGGAGGTAATATAAAGGCTGTTGAAAGTAACACACTGTGGGGAGTGATGCAGTTTGGGAATATAATGCAAACTGCGCAGTACTGCTCTGGTTTACAATAGCCTTGATGAAATTTTATTGTTTGGCTAGAACAGAACAGAGTCATCCTTGTCGTAACTCATTGTCTGGCTCTCTTTCTGTTGAGTGCTACACATTTTAATTAGCTAGGTTAGAGGAACATGGTGCAAACAAGACATTAGTGGTATGGTTCACAATAGACTTCACATCTTGGAATCAGCTTACAGCATAACACAACTTGCATTCAGCCTTCTTTTTTGTAATATAATCTTCAGAAAAGCTGCCATTGCTTCATGACACTGGTGATTTTAGAGGTCACTCAGGACAATGTACACAGAGATGCAGAGAGATCAGCCTTCTCACACTTCTGTCAACAACAGTGACTAATAACATGCCCACATGCACCTCTGCATGCTCATAGATGATTGATTATTCCAGTTTAAATGAAGTTGTATGATGATATAGATTTAGTCTAAAATTGTCACTGTTACAGGAGACACATTTAAATAAATCAATAATCATTAGAACATGGGTTGAACAGACAGCTGAGGTAGTGCTCTGGACAAAAATAAAAAAGCAACAGAAAAGTCTATAGTCCTCAAAATAATAAAGTAATAAAAACCGGAGGCAATTTTGGATAGACCATCTATCAACATCAGACACTGACGGGGTGGTTCTGGAAGAAGAAATCCAGTGGAGGTGCCCGGGAACAAATTACAGCATCAGCAGACCTCCCCTGGAAACGCTAATGCAGTTCTTTTCCCCATATATGTATACAAGACTTAACCATGCTCAAGTAGAACGGCAGAAACAGATTCTGTATTTGAAGAGGACACTTCAGTTTGCTACCTCCCTGTACCGCCAAAATAAAGTGCTCAATGCCAAATGATTTCTGTGATGAGAGCCAATGGCAGCCTTCATTTTAGGTGCTTCAAATGGATGTGACAGTTCCAGTTCACAGACAACTCTGTTTTCCCCAGATCTCTGTCAGGGTGATGCTCATCATTAGACTTCAAATGTGCACACACTCACACACACACAGACACACACTAGCCTCTGGCCAGACCTTATAACAGACTCTCCCTGGGGAAAGCTCCTGAAGAAGTCTGTTGCAGTGTAGGCGACCACCCACCCCCTCTCCCCTCTCCTCTCCCTCCTCTGGAAATCTCCCCGAGGCCTGTGAGTGTGTCTGAATGTGTTTGCGTGTGCATATGTGTGTGTCTGTCTGTCTGCTTTTCTGTACATGCCACCAGTTTTTGGAGGGAGATGGTCTCAGTGATACGTGAGTGGGAGGCTGATTTCCCCAACTGCACCACTCCAATCTAACTTCCCACTCATGCTCTCTGCTTTGTTAGATATTTCTTAAGTAACTCTCTCTCTTCCTCACTTTCTCTCACACGTAGCCAGGAATAGGCGTGTTTGTGTGTGCGTGTGCATTCAGCTGGGCCTCTCGTAATGTATTATTATGTAGACTCACACAGACATGCAGAACGTCTGGGTTTCTAGAGTAGGTCCCCAGGGGAAGATACTTGTCCCTGTGTCTGTCACAGCTAACACACACACACAGTATTCCTGAAGGGTCAGTGTGTCGCCAGGCATGCTCAAAGTGCTTCATCACTGGTTTCCACTGGGACAGTAACTGTGACTTCCTGAGAATCGACCTTCACCATCTCACTTCTGTCAATGTACATATGGGCATGTGTATGTATGCTAGTTGACGGAGTGAGCAGCAGTGTCTCCAGTGTGTGTGAGTGTGTGTGTGTGTGGGTGTGTTTTAGAGCGTGTGTCAGGCTGCCGTTTCAGCTGACTCTTCTGTTTCTGACTTTTTAATGGCTCTTATGGGGCATGCCTTTAATTGCAAGTCTCTCTCCCTCCTTCTTAATCCTCCCATCCTTCTGTCTCTCCCAGCCGCTCCTCTCCTCTCTCCTCCTCTCTCCTCCCGCCTCCCACTGGCTGACAGTCACTAGAGGAGCCCGAGAGCCTGGCTGGGGCTGTGGAGGCCTTATAGGATATTGACTTGCTGCGGAGTGGTTTGGGAGGAGGAGAGGTGGCTGCCTGTCACAGCTAATGAATAGATCCATAAATGAATGAGGCACTCCTTGTGTGTGTTTGTGCGCAAGTGTGTGTGTGTGTGTTGTTGTGGCTTGCTGTGGCTAAAAATGTGCCTGTGTGTGTCTAACCTAAACTTGGCTCTGAGCAGTTTTTATGTGCCTCAGACAGGCAGACACTAACAGTGGCCAGCTTGATAGTGATAATTATTAAGGGTGTGATGACAGTTTCTCCCTCCTCTCACTTCTGCACACACACACACATACATGAACACACATAATGCAAGATGAGGCTGTGTGGAGGGGGGTATGGATGTGAGGATCGAATCGAGGATACTAAAAAAACAATCCAGTTAAGTGCCAGCTCCCTCAAGCTGCTCTCTCTTTTCGTCTCTCCCTGCCTTTCTTCTCCTCTCCCTCTTTGTCCCTCCATCTAATCTGATCGGTGGGGAGCTGGAGTGTCCTCATGCCAAACTGGGACAAATACCTAAACACACACACACACACAGAAAGAGACAGAGAGAAGGAGAGGGAAAGGTGGTCTGGAGAGGAGACTGTTGATCTGAGGGGGGCAGATGAAGGAGTGCTGGAGTATTGATGTCTTCTTCACTATTGCTTTGTGCCACATTTCAAACACTGATTGCCTTAAGAGGACAATTTACATTTCATAGTCTATCACAACAAGTGGGTGAGATGGGAGTCAGAGATAGAAGGAGAGAGAATGATGTTTCAAGGAGGAAGTCATGGGCGAGTTGTGTGAGTGACTAAAAAGAGGGCAGTATAAACAGTACTTGTTTTGGTGGCACCTCTGTGTGAGTCTCCATCTATGTGTGTCTTTGCCTTACTCTTGGTAGAATGTACCTGCATAATTTGAACTTTCTTTTTCCTTACTGGATTCTTGTGAGTGTGGGAAAAGAATAGAAATAGTGTGGAGAGGAGAGGAGAGGAGGGCTGAGGAGATGAAAAGAAAGTCGGAGGAATTAAGAATCAAGTTCAGAAGGAGCGCGCGCTTTATCTGACGGGAAACTGTGAAACTGCAAAGTATGAGAAAACTTTTCCCATCAGCGCTCTCCCTCAGCTAGTGTATGGGTCTGCACCCCCAGTGTGTGTGTGTGTGTTTATGTGGCATGTGTGCGTATATACAGTATAAGATAGCTTTTCCACCCCAGTTGGAAGGAGACATCAGTGTGTCGGTGAGTGTGATTGGTTGTTGGCCCGGAGGGCCTGTCCTCAATACCCTTCTCCTGACTGGCTGCTCTGCAACCAATCAGGTGCCCAGACCTGGCCGCGGCAATCAGATTGTGACATACTCTCACTGGGTGTCGACAGGTCATCTGGAAATACCTGTTATGTTTTATCTCCCTGTGACACACAACCACACTCTCATGCACACACCAATATAACCTTTCCATCTTGTCTTTGCCTCTCTAGGAGATTGCTGCATATCTCATCACTTTTGAGAAACATGATGAGTGGCTGACTACATCACCAAAAACCAGGTGAGGAGACTGCAGAGTGGTTTCCACATGGACACACACACACACACACACACACACACACATGCAAACACAGTATCACTTAATCAGCCAATGACTCACATTGGTTTAAACCCAGTGACTGAGTGTCTGTGTTTGATTAAAACATTAGTGATGTACGCCGACTGTCTCCAAAGGGTCCTGCTGACGACCTACTCTACATGTAGAGTATGCTTTAGAACATGGCTGGACTGTAAAGCACCTAGTCAGCTGGAAGTGGAGTATTAATGAATGTAAATGTATTAGGGTAAGTGATGTATAATTCAGACATTGGAGGGTGAGGGGCGTTGAAAAGGAGGGGGAATATGTGTATATAAGATGGGGTGGGAAGAGGTATTCACATGGTAAAACTGAATATTCATTGATCTGATTGAACCAGAGGTAGCTCTGTTCCTAGAATAGGAGTGGTTTAGCTGGGAAGGAAGATAGGAAGAGAGGAAAGGGAAAACGAAAGCCTGAAGAAAAAGGGCAATATGAATTATTGATAAATCACCTTATTGACATTTACTTTAGTTAACACAGATGTAGGTATGATATAAAAAGAAGAGAAAGAAAAAGAAAGAGAGAAAAGCAGAAAGAAAAAGTAAAGTAAGAGAAGCAGTCACCTCATGGCCCTGTTTCTGATTAGTGCCACCGCCGAGTGCCCGAGGTGATGCCTCCGCGCTCCCATTGTGCGAGCTGAAGGACTCTTCTCAGGAGCAGCCTGAGGCCAGCAGCACAGTTTATGTTGTAGATGGATTTCTCATTGATTGGTTGTGCTGCCGTATAGCCTCAGCCTCCCAGCAACAACAGCAGCAGCAGTCATATTGGTGTTATTGAGCCACAGTTAGATATAATCCCATTTACACATGACACAAGGCATGATTAGAACAGATTACTCCTAATGCCATCAGATGGAAAGGAGCTCAGCTACCGGAGTGATTTATGTGCACGTACCCATGTGTGCGTATGCATTTGCACTCTTTTGGGGGGCAATATTAAGATAGCAATCAGTGACCTTCATTTCTCCCTTAGTGAAATACCTCATCAGTTCAAAGTAGTGACTGTTACTCCCTCTCTCCATCTCCTAACTTTTCTCATCTACTCTGCCTTCTCTCCTCCCTTTACCGGACTCACTCACTCGCCCACTCTGTCTCTTTATCTTGCCGTCTTTCATTTTTTTCCCCACTCTCCTCCCTTTGCCTTCTCTGTTTTCGCTCTGCTACACTGTGGAACGGTGGAAAAGCTTTTTATATCCCACACATCACAGCCCAGTTACAATCAATAGCATTTATGTCTGCTTGAATCAGAGGGTTTTGCAAGGAGCACGGGCACCATCCATGTGCACGTACGTCCACGTGCGCACACATACATACGAGCATGCACATATTTTCCCACCCACACACAAGCACATAAATCTGATCTCATCCATCTTCTCCATAACATAATTAGAATCAGCAGCTCTGAGATGACTCACACCGCTCAAGACAGTCTAAACTCGGCTTTGATCGGAGTGTGGGGGTCTCCACTCTGCTAAGAAACTGGCAGGCTCCCCCAAAACAGAACATATTTGAGGTGTCAAAGAAAATCAGCTCAAAGTAAATTCAATTTCACTACACACAGTGTTCTGAGTAAATTGCAATCATCTCAGTCCATATAGATGTGTCTACATCAAATTCTGGCGCATAGGAGGAGAGGGGAGGCGAGGAGACAGACGATAAAAGAGCAGAAACAGAGGACAGGACTAGAAGGAACACATGAGACGATGAGAATAGGTGTGAAGGAGTGGGGAATTGAGGTGCTGAAGAAGCGGTAAAGGGAAAATGAAGAGATAGCATGATAAGAGGGATAAAGTGTGGAGATTGATCGAGAAGAGGAGGGCAGGGAGAGGAGGGAGGAGGTGTGTCAATGTGTGTGTGGTGCACATGACTCTGTGTGAGAGAGAGCAGTTGTGAGTATGTGTTAGTTTATTGATCGTTAACGGCCCTGTTCTCTTTCTGTTGTCATGAGATAAGGCAGAGAAGCATTTTTCCTCCACCTACACACACACTCACACAAAAACACGCACACTAACCTGTCCTTAACGTTTTAGAAGTGTAGTGATTGATTGCTGAGCAGTAGGTTTGACATTGAGCCCAAAGAACACACAGCAGTAGGTCCTGCCATAGCATCTCTGTCTTTCTACATGCATGTCTCCTGGTGAGTAAGCATGCGTGTTCGTCCCACCAGGTGTATAAAGAATGGGAGCTTAGAGGCCAATGTTCCTGCTGTGCTGATAAATCACCCTACTAAAATATTAACACGCAGGAGTGTGAGTCTAGGTATGGGGGGTGGGGGGCTGCATGGGACCAGCTCACGTGACTGCACCATTTAAACCAACAATATGTTTTTGCTTTTTTCCACTATGATATTTCTCACAGTATGAAATTACAGTATGAAAATCCTTTGTGATCGGTTTCCATGGAGTTGAATTGCTGTCAGTTTCAACTACATTTATTCTCTATAATCTCCATAATGCAACAATATGCGTGTGTCTGTCTGTCTCGCTAACTCTTTATCCTATCTTCCATCAGGCCTCAAAATGGCTCTATGATCCTCTATAACCGTAAGAAGGTGAAGTACAGGAAAGATGGCTACTGCTGGAAGAAAAGGAAAGATGGGAAAACCACCCGAGAGGATCACATGAAGCTCAAAGTCCAGGGAGTAGAGGTGAGAGTCTGTAGTGGAAAAACATGTTGCTGATTTTGTTTGGCCATGAGTATGGTTTCACTGCCAGTCTTGTCCTAAACGTACACAAAGACACCACGTGCAGAGGTTATACCTGAGAGCGAGTGGTGCCTCCCTCCATCCCCTCCCTCTCTGCTCCTGTCCCTGTCTCCCTTCCTCTCTCTGTCTCCATCTTTCTCTATTTCTGAAGGATAAGAGTGTGTTTGGCATGAGGCCAGGAATGATGTCAGTGCCTCCTTCAGCAGAACAGAGAGGGGTATCGATCCAGTCTCAAGGCAGCGTCTGTGTGCGAGTGAGTGAGCGTGTGTGTTTGAGCCACATCAGGCAGCTCAAAAATTGATTATTCAGCTGGAATATACTATACCAAGAGGTGAGAGGAGTGAGCATGCGTGTCAGAAAGAACAAGGTAGAAGAGGAGGCGAAGGAGAGCCAGTGAGGAGGCACGTGGATGTTTACAGAGGCCTCAGTAGTTTGTGTCAAAGGATGAGCAGGAGACAGGTAAGAAGACACAGAGGTAAAGGGAATAAATTGATATCAAGTGTTCCCATCTTCACCTCTATTATTTATGACCCCACACTCACATTGGCATTCATGTCACGTGCAGTTTTCTGCATTCATGCGTGAACACTCACATACATATACACACACATATATATATACAAAGGCAAGTGTTTCTGTCCCTGGTAGTTGCTCAGTAATTGTTTGTGTCACCTCTTCCCAGGACCCTCCAACTGAGCAAGCAGGGAGCATGTAGAGCAGGGGTAGGGAATGAGAGGGTGAGCAGAGGGGGGAGAGACAGAGGATGGGGAGAGGCAGGAAGCAGGAGAGAAAAAAATAACCCTGGATGGAGAGCCTCCTCATATCAAATGGAAATATATGGAAATGCACTCTGCCTTCGGCAAAACACACTTTAGATAGAGGGCGGGCTACTTCTGAGGTAAAATGGCAAGAAAACAGAAGCGTGCACAAGTGTATATGAAAAAGAAAACAGGATGAGTCTTAAGTGATTTTATATAGCCTGATTCCTGAGTATGTGTGCAATGTTGTTCTTAAAAACAACCAATTTATATATTTATCTGTGTGTATTAGTGTGTGGCGGTGTGTGATTTTAGTGCATGTGAAAAAGAGGCACTCATGACCTTGACAGAAAGCTTTTCTGTCATCATTTTAACCTTCCCTTGCCAAAAACTACAAACACTTCAGGTATTGACCCACAGTACTTTCCGAGTATTTGACCCAAATGTTTCCATAGCACAGAATATCAAAAAACTGGAATCTAGCTTTGAATGTTTGGTCAGACTCTTTGTCTGATGCACTTATTTTGTAATAAGATTTTCATTGATTTAGATTTTAAGACTGTTTTATTGAGCCAGAACCCTTGCATGGCTGCCTTGCATTGCACACTGTTGCATTTGTAAAGTTTGTTACAACAAAAGAGGTTGTGTAGCAAAATATTTCAGTGTTCTTCAACTTAAAGTGTATCAAAACATTTCATACCAGACCAGCACTTCAAAACACACAAAATATTACAGACACTGCATTTGTGCAAATCTGTATGTCAGCTGCTATAATCATACATTTGGTCAATATTCACACCTGCACACATGCATATAGTAGTTTGTCTGTATGTAATAATCCTGTGCTGGATGGAGCCTATACTGAGCGTCCTCTTCATCTTGTCCATGGTGACACTTTACTTTCATTTTGTGCTTTCCTCACTTTCCCCTCCTCTTCTTGGTCTGCTTCACTGCTACTGATCTCTCTTCAGCGTCTGTTAGCTGACAACACTGTGACTGTTTGTGAATTCTGAGCGGGTTACGTCTAGTCTTGCTGAGACAGTACACAATCTACTGTGCGATAATTGTCAACATCAAATTTGTGGTATTTTGGAAAAAAACGTTAGGAAAGAATGCATACAGCATGTTTACAATTTAGTTTTAGCACCACGATCAATACAGCCTAAGTGGGTATAACCTAAGTTCTCCTTTCTTGTTCTCTCCTCCTTTTTGTCTCGTTCCTCCCTTTTTCTTTTCTTGTTTACCCCTGTGATCTCTTGTCCTCTCAACCCTCTAGTGTCTATATGGCTGCTACGTCCACTCCTCCATCATCCCCACCTTCCATCGTAGGTGCTATTGGCTGCTGCAGGTAAGCCCATCCCCCTTCCCCACCTTGCCTTTTCTCACACATATATACAAACAAAACAAGACTTAGACAGCAGTTATAGTGTGGTTATAATTTGTTAGTAGTTGTCATTTATAGAACCATAGCTTTTTGGGTCTTTTCCCCTCACGTTATGGTAATTCTACAACATTTATTATAGCTATGTTAAAGTTTAACTCACCATTATACACAAAACTGGACAAGCAGAAAAGATATATTGTAGTATTAGTTTTACGCAAAGTTTCATCTGTTAAACTGTCCATTATATTTTCCAAACAGAACACTAAGCTAAACCATAAACCAGCAATAAACATCCTCCTCTTCTAAATTAATGAGGCAGACTATACTGAAAATATTATCACAAAGCTGGGCTCATAATAAAATTTAATGTTGTTTGGCTGAGTGGAATATCCTACACACACACAATTAGATGCCTAGAATATACCTGGAATATGCCAGATCCTGTACAATGCTAACAAACAGGGCACAGTAGTAAAAGCATTTCATTGTGAGGAGATGACTTTAACTTACATAGCACAGTGTGTTATCTAACCCTGACTGTCAATGCTTATAGCGAACAAACAAGGACTGAGGCACTACTCTCTATGTGGTCATCTCCAAGAAAGTACTCTGGAGCTACAGCAACACACACGTTCACACAAACACACAGACACACAGGTGCATGTGTTTTTCACAGAGATGTTGGACTCACTCTGCTGCTCAATGACAGACGGAGAGCAGCAGTTGTATGTTCACACACACACACACACACACACACACACACACACACACACATACACACACACACCTCCCTTTATTGGCCAAGACCTTATTATCTTTGTATCACAGGTTACATGATAAATCTTAAACATGTCCACACACATTTACGCTGCATCTCTCTTCATTTCTCTCTGTTCTATCTAAAGTAAATATTGAATGCCCAGCGATTTAAATTATCGAAATGCATACATATTTATATGTTCTTCATCAGAATTTCCTGCATAATTTGTCACTTGAAATTTACAAGGACATTCCAGCCGCTCGCTGCAAATTGAATGTGCTTTTCCCCAATATATTTTCTATTTCAGCATGCACAAGTAGTTATATCCCTGCAGTCTGAAATTAGGAAGGGAAATTCTACTTGCTTTATCTGTAATGTGCCATTTTCAGCTCTTTGCGCAGATATCAAAACGTATCAGCAAATACGATCATAAATCAGCCCGTGAGTGCTGTTGCATTGCACAGTGTGATGCTGTAGCAGCCCACTGTGCCACCCTCTTTTGGAGAGAAAAGTGTTCCACCTCAGCAGGTTCTCCCCCTCACCTGAGTCTGCCTGCTGAATCTTTCATCAAGAGGAGCTTCTCCTCTCACCCACCTACACACACACACATGTGCATGTGGCCGCACCTGTTGAATCATTCATGGGGCAGAAATTCCATAGGTCTACTGGTGGCCTATGTATAGTGATAACTACATGCACATGCACATCTAGACACTTCCACAGCCTTTGCAGGGTTAGAGAGAGTGATGAGTAGGCTTGAGCTGTTAAATCTTTTATGGGCAGGTGAGAGAATCTTATCTGATTCACTATGTCCAACCTGCTCCCTGACCTCCACTTTCTCTCCCGTTTTCCTTCTCCGTTTCCCCTCCCTCCACTCCCTCTGTTAACAGAGTCATTTTATTGTCTCCCACCCAAATGTAGGTAAGAACATGACATTGAATTACTGAATAAAGGTCATGTTAAACTTAACATCAGCATGTGTGTGTTTGCATCTCTGTGTGAAAGAACCCAGACATTGTGCTGGTGCACTACCTGAATGTACCGGCGGTGGACGATAGCGGGAAGCCATGTGGTCCTGTACTCTGCTCCATCAACACAGACAGGAAGGAGTGGGCCAAGTGGAGCAAGGAGGAGCTCATTGGACAACTCAAACCCATGTGTGAGTTTGATTTACCATCATTTCAGCACTCACTCACCTCCCTCCTACTCTCAAGCTCTCATGTTTCAGCCCTCACAATTTTCCTAAACCTGAGGATATGAGTCACCTTGGGTCAATAACAGTACCACTTGTAATGTACACTAGAAGCCAAGCCTCGAAAGGAATCTGTAGGAAAGCAGTGTAGTAAATCTAAAACACAGGTGATCTGATTCACTGGCTTGTTTTGTAAGACTTTAAAGCAACTTGACAGCCGAATGGTGCACGATTGGGAGTCGTGCCATCACTTATCAGATGAGACAAGAGGTGCTTAGAGCAGTTCAAGGGAGATGATGAAAAATTCTGTCTTGCATAATAGAAAATATCTAATCTTGGCAACGTTTAGCACAAACATTGCATTAAAATGTTGCTGGAAGTACTGATAAGTCAATAAGCTAAAAAGCAAAAAGGTTGTTTTCAGGTATTAACAGTGCCCTTGTTTTTACTGAATTTTGGATGAATGAAGAACTGGGATGTCATCTAGAGAGGGAAGTGATAAACCAATGGTACAAAGCAGAGCTATATTTAAAGGCAATGTTGTTCTTTAAAAAAGCTACCTTCAGTACATACAGGCCATTTAGTCAGATCTTATACAGATTCAGAGATTCAGTCAGCAACATGCTGCCACCTAGAGGCAAGTACAAATTGCACCAAAGAAAATGAGGGATGGAGGGAAGGAAGACAGAGATGCTCAAAATATCCTGCATGTATTATTCATAAATGAGCATCAGGGAGTAGATAACTCCAATACACACACTAACACACACACTTACCTAATCTCACTTGTCTTTTGATCTGGTTTGGAAGGTCAAATAAGGACAGTGGCCAGAGCTAAGTGGCTTGTTAACTTAAGTACTACTTAAATTCTCACACTCCTTACTAAATCATATTCCCTCTCATTCCTCTACCTGCCTTGATTTGCTTAAACAAAATAGCTTTCTGCGTTTTCTTTTTCTAGTCATTGACAAGCTGCTGTAGTCATGTTTTTTTATGGGCAATGGGTCTCTGCCATTTAAACTGGTATTTCTTTTGTTACACTTAATACTGTAAATCCTGAAAATGTAAACACAGACATCTGAATTGGAAACTTGAAATACATTCAGATGTCAGTATTGAACTGTCCTGTAAAATAAGAAAACATGTCCATTTTGCATATATATATATATTTCAAATGTCTGCACTCTCATGCATTTTTAACTGTCTTATTGGAGTATTCATGACCTGAGTTTTCAATGTAAATCCTGAACACTAGAGGGCGCCATTACACACTGTCAAATGATTGTGAGGTAATGCTACATTAGTTGACAGATTGACCTGAGAAAATGCAAGAACAGAATATGACGAGAGTATAAAATGTCTGAAATGCTGTTTCCTTTGTTCGGGTGTCTCTTCTGTCAGGTGCTGGAAGCAGCCTGCATCAGAAATGCTCTAGTGTCAAGCAGCGCATCATCTCATCCAAGCAGGAGTCAGGGGTGCCTACAGGAGGGGGAGCTTCCCTGGGTACAGGTGCAGCAACAGGCCAGAGAGTTGAGGAAGCAGATGGCACAGAGGTGCAGAACAGCGATGTGTCAGAAGGTCAAACAGAGCCCGGTCCTGGAGGGGGCAGAAGCAGAGCGGGCGGAGAGAGGAGGAATGGCAGGATAACTAAACCCTCCCTACTCCCACAAAGCAGCATGGAAGTGTCCTCCTCTACTTGCACCAACCAGGTGGAGGTCCCTGACACCACCCAGAGCTCTCCATTGTCAATCACCAGTGACATGGCTGACAGCCCCGCCCTCGCTATTGGGGCTGGCTTGTCGCAAAGCACAGCTGTCTTCATGTCTGAGGTCACCACGCTGACAGGGGAGTCAGTTTACTCTGCTGGCCATACCCACCTGCTGGCATCCACCCACGAGAGCACCACTGCTGGCATCCTGTTGGCTGTTGCCCCTGAAAACCAGAGGTTTACATCATTTCCTGGTGGAGTGGGCTTAGGCGAGGGAGGAGAGCTGGTTCTATCCAGCTCTCTAGACTCAGGTGGAGGAGTCAGCCTTCCTGAGACCACTATGACCTTTGATCCTGATTGCTTCCTCAACAATCCCAAACAGGGCCAGACGTATGGAGGAGGTGGAGGAAAGACTGAGGGTTGTAATGGTGATGATGGAGGACTTCACTGTTCTTCTAATGGCTTTGTCTACAACCCAGCCCTCATCAACAACATCAAGACTGAAACTGCACCACTAGAGCAGCCACTGTCTACTCAGAGCAGCTATGTGGGAGAAGGGACAGGCCTCAGTCCCAGCACAACCCTGGAGCAGATGGACTTCAGTGCTGTCATGTCGTCAGCCTGTGTCCCAAGTCTAAGCCAGCCCGCACACCACCCCTCCCAGAGCCTCTTCCTCCAGGCCTCCCCCCAGACAAGCCAGCCCTCCCAGCTCCAGACCAATGGCACTGAGGCAAGCCAGGACTCAGGCGAAGCCCAGGCTTATATAGGCCTAGCCACGGTACCAACAGACTCACCGGTCACCAACGGAGATCCACATACACACCTCCACCGAGCCAGCCCAGACCAGCAGGCCCTGTGTGGACGGAACGTACAGGGGGCAGCAGTAAGCACTTTCCCTCTAACACCGCAGGACACCACGATCGACCAGTCAGGCTGCAGGGGACATCGAGAGGTTGGGGGCTTAGAGAAGACTTCTGAGAATGGAGGAGAGTTACTGCTCAAGCCTGAGGATCCTCATGAGGCTTATGCGAGTGTAGACAACGAGGACTACCTGCAACCCACAGATGACAATGGAGGAGGAGAGGAGGGAGGCGGAGGTAGTGGAGGAGGAGGAGGGGGAGGAGGAGGAGGGGAAAGTGAGATTCTCTGTAATGGTGTAAGCTTGTCAGGGGCCAACAGTTCAGTGGTGGCCAGTCCTCAGTCTATTACTGCTGGTGCAACCATCGAGGGGGCACTCTATAGCTCTCCTCTTCCTCATCAAGGTGGGGGGGTGTCAGCTACAGCAGCTGGAGCGGGAGCGGCCATCAGTCTGGAAGGCTTTGAGGCTTCATTTGGAAGCCAGTTCTCGGATCTGATCAATGATTTCATCTCAGTTGAGGGGTCTGGAGGAGGGGTGGGAGCAGCTGTCACTGGGGTTCTGATGCCCCAGGAAGGGGCAGCAGGAGAGGAGCAGGGCACAGGAGCAGGTCACCTGCCGGGCTCAGAGGTGGAGCAGGGAGCTCTGGGACTGCTCCCAGAGACTGGGAGGCTGTTCAGTGTGACAGACTACTCCCCAGAGTGGTCTTACCCAGAGGTTAGTAAACCCAAAATGATTATCATGCATTATTTATTTACTATTGCTCCCTATAGTAAAACTAGTCCTTCTACCACATGATTGACATGGTAGCTTGTACTTAGTGTTCAAATCATACTCAATGCAATTTGTACTCAGACCACCAGCCTGGCTGTGTGATCATTAAGGAGTCAGAGCATCTCAGACTCAGTTGATTGGATTTTGATGAAATTTCAATATTACCCTGATTGCCGAGGGTGGCTTTATGAATTTACCCATGTACCACTTAGAATATCTCAGTCACCAGTTCTGTCATTGAATCATGATGAAACTTGAGCAAACATACATCTTACCACCAATGTGACAAACAATGATGTGCCAGATGCAGTTAGTACAATTAGTGGAAAAACCTGTCAAAAATAACTTTAATAACTAATAGCATTTGCCCACATGTGCACATATTCAGCTATAATCTTTTTCTGCAACTTTCTTCCAGGATCATTATTATCACATCATACTGATTATTCCACAGTTTTGAGTTTCTTCAAAAAAATCAGCCCAGGCTGATCACATCACTTTTAGAATTAATAAAAAGAAGAAATACAAATGCCAAAAAGAAAACTACTAAATGGCTTTAAAAATGAATATGATTATTTGTTGTTTTTAGTTTCACAAGAGAGAGCACTTGTCAATGTCGTTCAGATGGTTCAGACAAATTAGTTCCACTCAGATGTGAGGGGCTGCTACCAGATCTTTTAGATTCAATGATTTGTCATTAACAAAATAGTAATTTGTTTCTAAATGAAGCAGGTTATAGTATCTGTCAGTTTATATTTATATAATAGAAACCAAAAGGTTACATTTTTAGGCCACTGTGTCTCTGAGGTGTGTTCTCTGACAGATGGAATCGGGATATTTGATTGAAACACATCTGCAGGATCTAAACGTACACTACCACACATATTCACATACTCATGCACACACACACACATCTTCACAGACTTGGAGCAAAGGCAAATCATAACAACAGGACATGGTACTTAACATGCAGTCATGTGCCTTATTCTCTGTGTTAATTCATGCACATTGAACCTTACAGTCAGTTGCAGTTTCCTGTGGACAAATAAGCAGCACTGTGTGGTACAGACCTGAGGCCTGTGTTTGTGTTCTGCAGGGCGGAGTGAAGGTACTGATCACAGGTCCGTGGTTGGAGTCGAGCAGTGAGTACAGCTGTCTCTTTGACCACATCAGTGTCCCCGCTGCCCTCATCCAGCCTGGGGTTCTGCGCTGCTACTGCCCAGGTATCATACCTGTGTGTGCACATGCTCACACTACACACAGTGTGTATCACTATGTCATACACACAAAGAACCACAATTTAAACCTCACCCCAACCTTCACCACACTGATATCCGTAAGCATACAAAGAAAGAGTCTAACAATGTCGGTAGCACATCCTTATTGAATTTGAGATAGTAACTGTGAGGAGATAAAAATCACCCTAACATAACCTATACATATGATATATCCTGCTACATTACGTATTATCAGGCAAACACTCTCTAGCAGGCACATATAGGCCAAAAGTAATACTAGACATTGGCAGTATACAGTGTTGGGGAAGCTACGTCTGACTACAACTAAAACAACAAGCAAAGGATTATTTAACTTGCACCTTTTTAGACCGTTTGACCGACTTGAGCACTTGTCTAAAAAACGGGTGTGGTGTTTTGTTAGTTTTATAACATCTGACTTGTACAATCTTAACAACTACAACAGTCCTCAACTTGCACCTTCTTAGACAGTATGAACAGCTTGAACACTGGTCTCAATGATAGGCCTATATTTTTAATTGTTGAATCTCCTGTTCATACAACACATGAGCAGTCACTGCAAGTTTTACCCAACAGGCAGTTCTGTTTGACTCTGAAAATGTCAGAGCCACCGCTGAAAGCCGCTCATGTACAGCATGGTAACATAAAAATAAAAAAGCTATTCGTTTCAATTTATGGTCCCAAACTGTTTGTAGTCTCAGTAGTTAACTACACAAAAGTAATTTAACTACTTGAATCACAATGTAAATATGGAGACAGTCTTACTAATACCTTACCTGATGTCTGTTTTCAGCCCATGACACAGGACTGGTGATGCTACAGGTAGCTATGGGAGGTGAAGTCATCTCTTCCTCTGTGGTGTTTGAATACAAAGCGCGTGACCTTCCCGCCCTGCCATCTTCTCAACATGACTGGCTGTCTCTGGATGGTGAGAACATTTGATTGTATGTTCTCATCTTGTTGTCTGGTGGAATTCATAAACAAAATGACCACCCAGTCACAGTGTACCTGGATTTTTTATGTATCAACATCCACTACAGACGAGCAAAAAAAGGAGTGTGTGCACTTGAAATATTACATTTTCTGACAGGAAATTAATGTAAATAAATGTAAAGTCCCCACGAGGATTTAAAATGTGTGTGTCTGGGTGTGTGCACATCTGCTTTCTGACTGTCATTGTGCTGCTCTGTTCTGTTGGATGCTCTGTCATGTTGTAAGATGTTTTGTCTACATCCACTGATGTACTGACCTGTATTGTGTCTTTGCTGCTGCTGCCGCCGCTGCTGCTGTCTAGCTCAACAGTGTTCTTCTGCGCTTGCAAGCAGGTTTATGTTGTTTGCATGCAGATTATCCCAAGAAGGGATCTGAACAGTTTTCACACCTTTTTGGTGAGAGGTGTGAGTGAACTTTACTTTTCATTTTCACAGCCATTCAGCATTGACATATGCTTTAGGCTTTGTCATGCTGGACATGTTTGATTATAATGGTGTCCACAGTGAGTGTCTGAATGTTGGAGAGAAATCAGGATTATTTTGTTAGAGCTGTAGATGTTGATTTTGTGAGAGTTAGAGGACAGATATTGGAGGACAGTTTGTTATTTGAGTCAGCTCTGGGGGATAGGTTGCAAATGCCTGCATGGCGCGGGGGTTATCTTCTGTGTGCAAATATATGATGCAATTGCAGTACGAAACACAAGGGTCTCCTTAGCGAGGCATGTCCTGGGTTACTCTGTGTTCGCCCCCGTCTCTGCGTTGCGCAATGCGGCAATGCGGCTCTACAGCCACAGCAGGCTGGCTCTTTGCTGGAGTGTAGGGCAAGGACATCATGGCACAGTCGCCGGTCCATTTCACAGTCTAAATGTGGACACCACTGGTAGTGTGCTGTGCAGCCTCAAGGCGCTATATATAGACTCTGCCTTTGAGTTTCAGTGATGATAGCGAGACTAGGATACGCGCTCTGCCTATTTCCATTCAAGTACTTAGTTTGGCCTCAAATGTACAACAAATACTCACTGCCTGAAAAAAAATAGAAAGAGATGAATAATTATAGCAGATGTGCGCCAGCGCACGACTTTATTACATGTTATTGCTCCAGTTTTATTCAGTCTCTTGCTGTTCCGATGACGACCGAGCCTCCTGCATCTCCGAGTCTGGCGGGCGGATTTGAAGGGCTGCTCTCCCAGACACAACGTGGAGACTGCTCTCTCTCTCTCTCTTTCTCTCTCCCCCCTTTCTCTCCCTCCCTGCACGTAGTTGTGTTTTGCTCGGTCGGAGTAGCATTATGTGAGTCGCACACTTCAAACTAGCGAGTTGAGCAGAAGCGGGAACAAAGAGAGCAGCAGATAGAGACTCGCTGTTGGGGTTCGTAGCATGTTTGATTTTAAACTACTGATAACTTCAAAACGCGCTCCTTTATTTGCCTTCAGGTCTGCTTTGTTTGTAGCGGAGTTAAGTTTTTTTCGTTTTGGTGCTGTAGATGAACATAAATGTGTCTGTTGTCTACATTTCGACCTAATACCTCTAAAGTCGAGAGCTACTTTTCCATTTCATGTTTCAGTCAAAATATTTCAGCATGTGTGGCGCTCAGCCTGTCGATTTGAGACAAAGGGACTGTAGAAAGTCCTCACGTTGTTTGCACGCTAGATGCTTGTACCAAAAGGCACGCGAGAGCCTACGAGAATTGTTGTTGCCACTGTGGTTTAACGGTTTTGGTTGATCCTGTTCAGATTCAGCACCACAGACGTGGACAGCGCCACTGAACGCCATGACAACAAATGAAGGGATGCTAATGCAGAGGCCTAGATACAGTAATAACAGGCCTTCAGTACAGACACGGGGCGTGCGTTGGATCACTCAAAGCTGCAAAACACAAAGAGACTACGTAAATAACATACATATAGAACATGTTTACATTTTTAGATGAGCATGTTTACTACTGAAAATGTGTTTTTATGGTCCCTGTGCCAAAACTGTGTTTCAGTAGATTGTTACTTTTGACAAAGACCCGAATATGTTTGCATCAAATGAGTTTGTGAACTGGAATATATGTAGAACTATTAAATGCCTTGTAAGAAAAAACTGTTAAAAAGCTATTCACTTGAAATTTTATGCCAATATAGTGGACCTGGTTTTTCTTTAACTCCTATATTTAAGCCACTAGCTCTATGTGTACCAAACTTATATTACTAATTCTTTTTCAACTTTCATCAAGGTTTTTGCAAATGTTTAATTGAATATGAGTATTGAAAGATTGCTGGATCAAAGTAGATGTTACTTCATAGTGTGTTTTTTTGTGGCAGTCAATACTGAGAGCCCATGCAGAGCATTAGTGGGAACAGGAAAAGAGTTCAGAGTTGGTCGGCAACTCCACAGGTCTCCAGTACAACTAAAAGTAATCATCAAACAAAGTTTGAGAAGCAGCTGAATTGAATTTGTATTCCAGAGCAGGGCAATAATTCAAAGAGGCACAGCCTTTATGGAAGCTGGAGGGCAGAACAGTTTTTTACTGGTCACTTAACCCATCTACTTAATTAATACACTCAAAAACAATTTAGAAAATAATGTATTAAATTAGCATTTAAATTATGTGATTAAAAACTATTAGTAGAGAGATAATTGCATTCTATTGACATGAGTAATACATTCAGTCATTTTTAATGAATTCCTAAGTCTCCTAAGGAGGAGTTTCCACTGTGGCATGTAAGGCAGGTACATTAGGGAACTGTGAAATGGAAAATGACAGGAAGCTGCAATAAAAAAAGAAATTAAAGGCTGTGTTAAAGCAATTTTATAGGCATATTTCATATTCAATAATGTATTTGTTCATTAAGACAAGGTTATTACGGACCATAATTGCCCAACTTCAGTGACTATTTTTCAACTCTATTCACTTTAATATTTTAATGTATCAGTTAATGGGGTTATTATAATTAACCACAAAAAATTTCCTTGCAGCAGAGGCCACTTCCTGTAATTCCTCTCAACCTTTTTTCTTTTATTGTTCTATAAGCATTACATGCTTATGTGACCAGAAATCTGCTGTACACGTTCTTTTTGTGAATGTACGTGTGCTGTTATGCTTTTGTATTTTGTATTGTAAATGTATTTGTGTTTGCATTTGTAATGAGTGAAGACAGCTGCTTCCTCTGTGCTTGACAGCTAAAATACTGGAGCATTTTGCTTTGTATTCAGATGAGCTGTGTTACTGAAAAACTTTGCTCCCTTTCTGATTGGTAGAGGGTTGAGCCTGAGCGTACTGTGTCACTGTCATGGCTCCACCCTCTCAGATTGGCTTGTGTGCTGCACACGGCAGAAAGAAAAACAGGAGTGAAGTGAGAGGAGAGAAAAATAGAGAGACTGAGTGAGAGAGCAGCAGGTGGGATGACATAATGTGCAATGCAGCAAAACTGCTGCAGTTTTGAAACAAGTGGTCACATTCACATACAGCTGTGCCACAGACATGTACAATCTACATTTGTCATAAGATGCGTGCCCTTTCACACAAACACAGACACTCACAAGCACACACAATTTTGCATAGGTCCCACGTTCCCATTGTTGGTGAAGGGATTTATTGGATTTCAGCCATGATTTATTTTCTAGCATTGAATCCCTTGGAAAAGAGTTTCTCCCTAAATCTCTCTAAATAGGGCTTACTAAAACATTATATTGATTTGCTTAAATGCAACAAACACCTAGCCACCACTTACAGTTGTATATGTCTGCCTTAATTTCTGTAGATACACAGTTCAGGATGTCCATCTTGGAGCGCCTGGAGCAAATGGAACAGAGGATGGCCGAGATAACCAATCAGAACCCCAGCTCCGAAACCATGGCAACCAAGGGCAGCGGAGTGGAGGGAGGAGGAGCCACTGATCAGCAGTCTCAAGTAAGACATGAAGAACTGATTTAGTTAGGGTGAAATACTCAGCTACGTAATCTGAAAATGTATCAAGTGAGCAGGCAAACAAAATGTAGTTAAAGCAAGTCTTTAAATTTGCATTTGAGTTATTGAGATAAAATTGGATGACTGTAGCCCAATGATTTAAACTCCAGCTGTTGTTTTAATTTTGCAAAGAAATCATCTAAACCTGTACAGCAGTATATTCAATTATAGTAACACCTATACAACATAATACAATCAAGCTCAAGATCACCAGCAACTTCAGATTTAGAAATGTGTTTAATCCACTGTGTGGTATTTTATTATATTATACAGTATATGGAAAGATGTTGTTTATATTCTATGACTTCATAGCAGCTGGATCATGTCACACTGCCACCTAGCTCTTAAGGAGTCAGAGGCTATTTAAATACTGTTTGAAAAATCAACAAAAATGACATAAAACTTTGAGGTCAACAAAGAATTGCATGCTTAACTCACTATGCCCTCTTACTCTCCAACCTTCCAGATTACTCCTGATCAGGGTTCATTTGAGGGTCGTGTGGTGGTGGTGTGTGAGAAGATGATGTCTCAGCCATGCTGGGCTTCTTCTACTCAGCTCGTGCACAGTAAGAACTCCAGAGGAATGACCTTACTACATCTGGCTGCAGCTCAGGGCTATGCAGGGCTCATTCAGACACTTATTCGCTGGCGGTGAGTAAGACACAAACATGACACACCGTTAGGAATGCACAGATTGTGCTAATTTACTTTTGTCATTTTGCTCTGCAGCACAAAGCATGCTGACAGTATTGACCTTGAGCTGGAGGTGGACCCTCTCAATGTAGACCACTTCTCCTGCACTCCACTGGTGAGTGACAGATTTTTTTATGTGTATTTTCAGTGCATGTGTCTTTCTTTCCATGCCTCTGTGTGACTTGTGTTTTCATTGATCCCTCCAGATGTGGGCATGTGCTCTGGGCCATACTGAGGCAGCACTGGTGCTTTACCAGTGGGACCCAAGAGCTCTGGCTATTCCTGACTCACTGGGGCGCTTGCCACTCAACATTGCTCGATCCAGGGGCCACACCCGATTGGCTGAGCTCTTAGAGCAGCTGCAACAGACTCCTCAAGCTCCGGGCCAGCCTGCTGACACCTGGATGGACAGGTGGAGAGGAGAGTCACAGACCAGTGGAATAAGCAACAGCCCCACTCCAAACTCTAACATAGGTGGAAAACCCCATTGTTTTGTGGTTTATCACCAACGGGAAGGAATTATGTTAACATTCAGTTCAACCAAAACACATAAAGTTCCCAGCTTAGCACTAGTGGTATGTAGCCAAACTGGTGTTTTCAGTTACATTTGCAAAGGTTTTATTCCACGATTGAGACTTGGTTTATAGCCGGTTAGCTTAACTTAGCATAAACAATAGATGCAGCTAGTTTAACTCTGTCCAAAGCTTAACAGCACAGATAATACACAGACCTCTCTGTGGACAGTCTAAAATTAACCATGGCAAGCTGTTTCTAGGTGTAAGTGGAGAAGTTACATTTATTTTTGTTTTGGGTGAACTGACCCTTTAGTAAATTAGTATATCCAGTGTGGTAGTGATAGAAGTTTACATTATATAACCTGCTCTTATTTTCCACCATCTTTGTTTTCCCAGAGCTGAGGAGAGCCAGGACAGAGAACCAACAAGACAACCAGAACCAGAGCTGGAGCCAAACAGGACATAGAGGCCCACAAGAAACCCAGGGAGAACAGGGAGGCCCTCCTCCAGCTAAGAGATGCAGACCCAGCCCAGACACCCAGCAACATCTAGCAAGCTCACCTCCTGGCAACCACACCCTCAGCTCCCTCCTCAACTACTCCCCAAGTCCTAACCCTCAATGCTCCCCACCCCCCAACACCCAACAAATTCAGCCTTCTAACATCAGCTATCAGAGCGCACCTCCCGCCAGCACCTGCCGTAACGAGCCTAGGCTTCCCAGCACCCCATTCTCCCACCTGCAGGCCAGGATAGGGGGATCTGGAGGGGACATCAGATGGAGTCTGCGGCAAACTCTGGGTCAGCGTAGCCTAGCCAGGAGGGTTCTAGGAAAAGAACGACTGGCCATTCACCTGCACCAAAGAGTGCTGTCTGACAGGGGAGAGGAGACAGAACTGCTGACTTATCAGGACTCTGAGGACTTGCAGGTATGAGGAGCAGACTTGTAGCAGCAGTTCTGATCCTGTTCCTTGACCAAAACTGAACTGTTTATGCTGTATGTGGTGTATGATGTATACAGCTTGCTTGCATGTGTGACATGTTTTTGATAAAATGAAACAATACATTAAAAATCTATGAAAACAACTCTCCCCAAACTTTGACCCTCAGTGCGAATAAGGTCAAATTCCCATGAAATTTGTCATTGTAAGAAGGGCACCTGGAGTAATTGTGTTACTTCACCATTCACTTACACACACACTAATATGGTCACATGCACTTATAAGAAAGGGAAATAGGCACACATACTAAATTTTTACTGGCAAGAGCTTAGGTAAATGGCAATAAATATAAAAGGTTTTTACTTTGGACATAGCAATTTGTAGTACTTGTTTATCTAATCACAACGATAAATCAGCTTCAATGAAAGTATTAGCAGCAATAAAACCTCTATGATGATGTACACTCTATGATGCAGTGAAATATGATAAACAGGACAGTTCAAGGCACCTAACTGTTAGAATTACCCAGATGTCACAGCCAGCATGACGATAGGATTAAACATTCAATACATGATCAATCTTTGCAGTTTTGCTCAAACATAAACATAAACCACATATCAGAAACATTCAAAAATCAAGTGGTGATGATAGTGCACAGATTTAGCTTCTGTTTAGGAAATTAAGTAAAAATCACTTTGCACTTGCCCACCTCTAATTATAATTGTACATTAAATACAAAGAGTTGAGCATCATTTGCATGAAAACAAATGTCAAAATATGTAACAACTGCTCTGCGTGTGTTGCAGATGGACATTATGATGCTAGCGGATCACATCACGGAGGCTTCGACTGGTAGGCTTAAGCAGCAGGCGATGGAGACTGAAACAGACTCTGGGAAGGTGGGGATCAGCAGTGATGTGAAGTTACTGTCTGATTACCTCAGTGAGGTGGAGAGGTATGTGAAAGGATTCCTGAATTTGCCACATTTCCTTAATCTAACCCATCAAATAGCATTAACCTTTTTTACTATAAACCTTTTCATTTGCTCTCTGCTTTCCTCTAGGTTTCTAAACTCCAAGGCCCATACTCCTAGCCCAAAAACAAAGTCCCTCTCAGGGCCCGAGGAGCAGCAGAGTCCTCTGGCTAAGCAAGCTCCATCCTCCCCCTTTGACTGGAGCTCCTTCCTTTGTGCAACTATGAAAGAGGAGACCTTGAAAACTGACTCCTCCTGTCTAGCCATGACTGAAGCAGAGCAGGGGGAGCTGTATGAGACCATCAGGCATGCTCTCCACTCCCTCAGAAAACACAAGGTATTCATGAACTTTTGCTTTTTAGAAAAATGTTAAGTTTCCCCTAGAGACTGCAAAATAATCTGTTGCATGTTGCCAGTGTGTTTTTTTTAAGACTTGGCTCTGGCATTTGTTCAAATGCTCTTCCTCTCCAATTATTTTGTTAGTAGATCACAATAACTTGAAAAAGTTTAAGATGACTGTGAACTATTTAACATATACTGTATGGTGTTTATGCTAACACTGAATATCACTCCTTCAGGGTCCCATTCAGGAACAACGCAAAGAGATTGCAGCAGTGATTCAGCGCTGCTATAAGAAATACAAGCAGGTAGAGCTTGTTGGTTGAGCATTTTTCCTAATTATGGATACACCAATCTACTACCTTCTATCCTACAGTATCCTTAAGTACTACTGTAAATCTTATTTTCATATGTAATTCAGATGGAATTGATTCAAAACCAAATATTTTTAATTAGCATAATCATGTAATCACTATCTGTGGCTCTATATAGAACCATTAATACAGTTTCTATAGAGGTCTCTGATACCATAAACTGTCATTATGGAAAACATTGTTCTCACAGTTTTTAGTTCTTCCGTGTCAGACAGCTTAACATTATCGGTTTATGTATTAATGTGAAAATTAACCAGTCACAAAACAAATCCCAGCTGTATTCAGAGTTGAGAGTTGAGAATGCAGAGAGACACATGTGTAAGCACAGAAGTTATTTGAGGACTTGGTTTTCAGTCACTTCAAAATGAGTTTTCACAAGATTCACCTTCTGTTTTGGTGATTTCTGGGTGCTTGCGGTCTTTCTAACAGTTTTTAATCATTATGATGAAAAGTTACAGCTGCCAGGTTTAAGTTAGAGTATAAGATTATATGTACTGTAGACACTGCATCAAGCCTAAAATAGTTCACTTCATTAAGTTCACCTATATAGGTTCACTGCATTTTCAGTATATTGTTGAGTTCATCTATTTTGAGTTCATTTATCTATTTTTTGTCACTTTTTACATTTGTAGCACTGATTTAGAAATAAAATTATGATGTTTATATATTCAGGATTCAACATTTCAAAGGTATGCGTAATAATAGAAGGGTTTGCTGTTTTCTCTCTCAGTATGCACTTTATCAGAGGATGACCTTGGCAGCCATCCTGATCCAGAGTCGTTTCCGGAGTTTCCATGAGCAGAGGAAGTTCCAACAGAGTCGTAGAGCAGCAGTCCTCATCCAGCAATACTACCGCTCTTACAAACACTCCCTCAGGTACTTCACAAACATGCACACTCACACACACACACACACACACACAGGGCTTAATTATGCAGATATGTCTTACAGCCATGTCTTTGCCTACAGCAGCCTCCTAACTAAAAAACAGAACCAGGCTGCTCGCAAGATTCTGAGGTTCCTGCTCCGATGCCGCCACAGGTGAGGCACGAAGTCTCCATACGCTGTCAAACTCCACTGCACACACACCCAGGGACACACACTCATACATAATTACTGGCACACACTTGCAGCCCACTGACACACCTGCGCTCACTACATTGGTGCTAATAGTTGATGTTGTTTTACTGTTCCTGTGAAGCCCCTTGATGGACCATAGGCCTCTGAAACGGGTGAGTCTTCTCTCTCTCTCATCTCTCTCCTTCTCTCCTGGTGGCTGATGCCTGTTTGCATGTCAGCAGAGGGAGGGGGAGAGGAGATCCTGGATTATCATCCTTCACTCTCACTCTCTCTTCCCTCCCTATCTCCCTTCCTCTCTCTCTCTCTCTGAGGACTGCTGAATGATGTCGGTACCTGTGCATGAATGACAAATAGGTAGAGGAGCGATTCTTGCATATGTTCTTCCTGGGGGCATGTTCTGACTGACATCACTAGGAAAGTTTACGTGTCTTGCTTGGCCTGCTAGTCTTTTTTTCTCTGTGCTTTGACGGGTGGGGAGGAGAGCAGGATGGGGTGTGTGTGTGTGTGCTGGGTTGGAAAAGTTGAATAACTTTTCCTGCTGCTCTGCCTTTGGATATAAAAGTGAAAAAACAAACACTACCAAAGATGTACACTAAATTTGACTGAGTGTCTCTAATGTGTGTTTGGTTTCTCCCCAGGGCCAGAGAGCAGAGAGCGGCCAGGGGTCCTGAGAGCCCATCACCAGGCCCCACACACAGCCCCCTCAGCCTGTGAGCAATCTGTACACCCTCCCAGCCCTTCTGCCTTTCCTTTCTCCTTTCCTCTATGCTTCCCCACCACCTTCTGACCTATCCTCTTCTTTCCTCCTCTCCTCCCTTCTCTCTCATGTTCTCTCCCCTCTTCTCTTAAGAGGGAAAAAAACTCTTCCCAGACAGACTGAGGACAGGATAGGTGTCCATCATGGCAGCTCAGACAGACAGACTGATGGGTAGAGCCCAGGGACCTGGCTCTGCCCACAGCACTGATCCTCCTCCACAGTTTCACTGGGAGGCCATCACATTAACCTCATGGCATTCTTTGCACTCTTCATGGGTATGTTTCTTTGCAAGGAAAAGTCGACGAGTCACACGAGAGAACGCAAGAAGCACCTGGCAATAGCGTCCTGCCATTCGTGGCAGCAACAGGATGTACTGAAAGGCACCGGTGATGAACAGCTGGCTCAAGATAAAAGCTACTTTGACATGCAGAAAATATACAAAACCTGTTGAGTTTTGTATCCAAACAGTGATCCATGAAAGGAAAAAAAAACATAAACCAAAAGACTCACATCTATGTTGCATTTGCATGCAAGGTTCTTTCGCTTATTCCTCCTCTCCATCATCCTGAATTGCTACAGTGGCAAACCATTCTGCTGATTCAGTATTTCATAGTATCACCAACCACTCTGACTCACAGGCTCACAAACCTATTAATCAGTCACAAGTTCAAAAGGGGAGGAACTGCACTTGAATGTATGAGGGACGCTGTTAGATAAAGGGTCGGGGTCTGAATAACGATGTCTTAATTTGTTACATGGACTTTGTATGGAGTCGTTCTCAGAGGCAGCACTTTGCGTGCCTGACGTGGTGTGTCCGTGTTTGTTCAATTCAATGCATGTGATTGAGCTACAAGCTCCTGCATGCTTGCCAAACTGCTTTAGTGTTGTTTCTTTTGTATTTCTATGTGTAGTTGTGTCTCACTTATGTCCTCATCAACTTATCCTTGCCCTGTGTAATGTGAACTGTGTAAGGACAAAAGTCTTATTTTGGGTGCTTTTTTTACTTTATTTATTTAAGGTTCTAATTATGTATTTAATTGGCTCAAGAGAGATTCAGCTTGAGACTGGTTTCCCCCCTTGTGTGGTAAAATATGACATGTTCCAATGGTTAAATGTCTCTGTTAGTGTGTTCTTTGCGTGAACCTCTAAATCCTAACTGTGGTTTTGAGGAGAGAGTCACATACCATTGCCTTGACTTCTTCTTGACTCTGAGAGGTCTCTGCTTGCTCTGTACAGGACATGGGTCCTATACCTGCCCCTATCCAGGGCACTGGTCCCCATATTACCCCATACGGGGCGCTCAAATCCATATTTTGGACTATTGCATATTCCTGTATATAAACTGACGAGGTAAGGGGATACGAGGACCCTGAAACTTTTTCATAAGAGGACTGTATTTAAGATTATAGATTATTTTACTCCCATAATGAGAAGTTAAGATAGAGACCTGGGTACACAGGATGGCTGTATTGCTTGTAAATAATGTAGATATTAAAAACGGAGTAATGTGCATGAGATTTAAGACAAACAGCAAAAAGAAACATGTTAGTGGCTACGGACTGTGAGAGGATTTTAACCGCTTCACTTTAAGAGTATCCAGTGTAAGTGTTACTGAAAAGAACCTTTTGTTAAAAGCATGCAACTGAAAAATCTAATGTTAGAATTATAAGTGGGAAAAAACAAAGGTAGCTGAAACAATGACTTTTCAGACAAAACATTTACACTATGTGCTTTTGTTTCTTGGCTAGCAAAAATTAAACCCCCTTTTCCCAGTAGTGCCAATTATTATGAATGCTACTTTGCCTAACAGTATGTTATGTTAGGGAACCCAAGATCCAGAAGATATCAGTAAGATCCACAAAGGCAACATGCAGACAATAAACAGTAGAAGAGATCTAGTACTAGCTCAACCATAGACCTCCTACAGATTCTGAAGTTTGTCTGAGGCAGACTTACATATAGATGTTGATGATGATGGTGGTGATGGTTAAGATGCAAGTATGAAAGTGATAATAATGGTGATGAAGATGATCATTTTAATGTGAATGCAGTGACTGATGACCCAAAAAAAAGGGAAGAGGGCACTACATTCTTTACAATGTGGTTGTGCTTCAGCAAGATGCTAGCTTTTATTACGGCCATTAATCACACCTACAGCGAATCCAGCCTGGCCTCCAGTCGAAGCTTTCCATCGTCAGACAGAATGTCTCCTCCCCACCTTTTACATGTCATTTGACTAATTTTTCTTTTCTTGTTATCGTCTTTGTCATTATTCTACAACGTGTATTTTAGACTTCTGGAAAGCTCTGCTTAGAAAGTGCCTGCTCAATAACAGAAAAGTGCAAGCTGATATCAGGAAATAATTATTGTATGTCCTCCAAAAGGTTGCCAGTTACCTGTTTATTTTCCTAAATTGTGTGTTAAAAATGAACTCAAGGTGTTAAACTTGATCTGACTCCAAGTTAGAAGCACTAGTTTGTCAGTGGTGTGAATGAATGCTCATGGCCTGATTGATGCTATTTGTTGCTTTATGAGACAAACCAGTAATTACAGTATCACTTTATGCCCCACTTGTGTATGCATTTTACAGTATTAGAGGAAGAAAACCATAGGATCCTGCCTGTATGTATGAAAGGCACTGTCACAAGTCTATTCAGCACCCCAGTGGCGCAACATGCATTTTCTTGCATGGACTCACTTTTCTCAAAAATGTTGCAGTATACAAACAAAAACATAACCCAGCAGTTTTCCAGAGGACAAGACAACTGTCATACACACTTTATTTCTTCATCTCACTCTCTCACAACTAGCACTCACACATGTGCACATACAGTCAGACACAAATACAGGCATTCAGATGCACAAAAAGGCCCCACTCTTTCTCTCTGTGCT